TTTTTTTTATCGTAGGACTTCAATGTAGTATAAGTAATAACTGCATGATCAGAATTTTTTGCCTAAAAAGTGATTTAATAACATCAGTTGAGATCTTGACTATGAAACTATGAAATTCATATCCATTTCTTAGAATAGATCTATTTCACGCGATAGGCATAATGTTAATCAGTTTTTCCTTTAGAGGCAGTTCAATGATTTCAACCTTTCCACTGTAAACTCATGGCAAACATATATGGTTGTATGAGAGGGCTTACTGTGCGATGTACGTGCTGAATTTTGTAAATCGGCCCGCTTTTTAGACGAATCCTTTTTTAACCCTGTAGCTATGATATGTGTAATCCGCATTTTCTGCTTCAAAAAAGAATTGAAGCAGTTTTCAAAATTCTTGCATTTCAAAAAAATTAAGCTGTCGCTTGCCCTTGTCTTCGTTCTATAATCCGCATACACGACCATACACTTAATTTAAAGCAGAAAAAAGCGAATAAACCATATAATCTATCTTCCTCTTACATAGGATAAATAAAGGATTGCCAAAGGATTGGGTTCCTTAGAATCATTTGATTTTGACAAAAAACAACAGACCAATACATCCCTAACAAAACAGCTTAAGCACTTTTCTTCGCTTGTGATATAATCAAATACTGTACTTGCAAATATGAAACCTTGAAATTCAAAAATTGCAATCCTTTCCATTTATGAAGAATTCTGCTCCAATGCCGTAATAGTTTGATTCGGTGCCTGTTTCAGTTCGTGCTGCTCGCTTTCCTAAATACACCGTGTGAGAACACTCGATCAATTTATCATGGGAGAAAATGAATGAAGTATTCTAGTAATTCCTCTCTTTCTTGAAGTTAAATTGAGCAACATGTGAAAAAAGCAGCAGTAACCACTTCAATTCTCTCCACGACAAGCCCATTCAAACCTCAATTTTTTCCATTAGTTTTTCTCCTGCTTTGCTGATTGTCGAGAAGAATCCAAAACCGATGAGAATGATTGCAGCACCAAAGCCGACTAGAAAGTAAAAATCAAATAAATTGTTGGAAAACTACAAAAAAGGCATTTAATCGTACTTAAAATTAAAGGAGGTCGAGTGATTAGAAAGCCGACGAGGGAAAGCGCTTCGAGAAAGTAGACGAAACAGGCTAGAACCTGAAACTATTTGGCCTCTCTTGAGCATGCGACCACTGTTTCCATCTCCTTCAGTAATGTAAACATTTAACATCAGTGGCTTTCTATCGCCCGACAACAATTGTTGGAATAGCTTTAATTAGCGACTCCTTTTTTGAAAGCTGGATGTAGTGCTTCCACACCACACTTCAAGACTGCTTTTGGTCAAACTGCATATGTAATAAATATGTTGGCTGTGAATTTTAATAATTACTTGTGCTAATGTGATTCAAATTCACTATTTTCACGTTACCTGCCGGTGAAAATGAGATCCAAGAAAGCTGCCGAAAGGGGCGAGAGTAACACCGACAGGAATAGAAACCTGTAGATATTCTAAAGCAAGTTTAGAAACATCACCTTCCCAAATGAGGCGGTAATAACCTCCGACCATAGAATTCAAACCTAAAATGCATATTTGTAGACAACTAGTAATCGTTCTGCAAACGCTACGTACCCATCAAAACAACAGTTGTCGGAGTAGCAGTTTTTTCAGTTACCCTATAGAGTAGAGTAATCATAGAAAAAATGCAAATGTCTACGCCGGACCCAGCAAAGGCAGTAAAGATTCCTGAAACAAGTATAACCATATCATCAACTTCATTTGACAATATGATAAATGTGGTATAGCGTGTGTGCTCTTCGCTGAGTCATGGGAAGCAATGGGATTGAGGAGTAGTTCACATTTTTGTTGATATTGCCACAGGGTATGATAGCGTGTATCTTTCCTGATAAAATCTCACAATAAAAGTTTCAAAACTTTAACAACACCTGACCTCCAACAAATCCGGTAGCAGAGAGCACTACCGCTTTCCAAGGTTTAAAGTCCGGTATCTTAGGATACGTTTTTCTTTTCTTGTGCGAATTTAAAATGAATAGAGCTATAGCAAATGATGCCCAGATTGACACAAATAACATCTTCTTTTGACTTGCATCAAGAAGTGGATCAAACTGAAATATGCTCAGGTGGTATACGAGGTGTAGTTTTACTGAGGTTGCCATTCTAGAAATTCCTTCATTAAGAGGTTTTTTGAACTTACAAATTTGAAGCCAAAAATGAGACCAGGAATAGAGCCTAGAGTTCCGAAGAGTACTGCTTTCTGCTCGATTTGTACCCGCATGAATACAACAACGAATAGTGCGCACATCATTCCTGAAAGCTAAAGCTCTCAGTTTCCCAAGGGTTATCACCTGTTTTGCGATAATTTGATTTAAACAGGTCATAAGGCAGACAATCTTAATAGAGTAAAGCACAAAGATGTAATTAGAATCGAGATCGAATTTTTCGATATATCTTGCTCTAGGAGTGCACTAATCAACTCTAATAACCGTCTCTTCGAGACCACAATTTCGTTATTTTCTTGTTGGATTCTTTGAAAAAAGGATATAAAAAATTTGCTTCTTTTGAGGAACATGTAATCATAGCTGATATTGTAACTGTTTTTCATTTGATCATCGTTAATCATTTGAAATTGATGATTCGTCTAAAAATAGAAAATGGAGCATCTCCGCAGCTATCTAAATTGTTCTTTACTTGATTTGTAAAGGTTTTATTTACGTTATTGCTTTAAACTTCCTCTCCTAATCTCAGCTTACCTATGGACTGCATGAGAAGTGAGAAATCTCTGGCAGTAACAGGTTCTATATGAAGCCCAAGAGTCATGAAAGGAAACGCTACAGCACCACCACCTTCTGAAGTCATACCTAAAGAACTCAAAATGCATAATGTATATTTCGTAGCTACAGACGATTTCGAAGCACAGGCTTGTAAGAGGTTGTTTGAAATGTTTGAAAAGCTTTTTAATTCGCAAAATAAAAACACCCTCAAGCTTATTGTAAAGGGTCAGTTTCAAACCTGCAACAAGAGCTCCAAGTATCATAATCAGTGGCATCTGCCATCTTGTTTCGTACAACTTCAACCAGTCATATCGTACGGCAGTTAACCACCAGAGTGTCTAAAGTTGGTGTGATATATAGAACTACTATCTGAAGAACTCAATTCTAGTCTGGCGATAAAAAGCTTATCTTTTTCAATGGTAGAAAGAATCATTATGCAAGCACACGTTTATGCCGAAAAGAATGTAATTTATCAAGTTTGATTGTCTTTCAAACAAATGTTCTGTACAATAAACAAAATGCTTTTTGATTTGCTAAACGTACAGTGCTTTGCCATAATTATAACTTCATTTGGAAGAAAAAACGTATCGCAATTACTATTGTATGAATTCTTACGTCTACGAAAGCATACGACCACATCCTAAAAAACACGACGGCTTCCAGTTCAGTTAGTGCCGAGAATTTGGAAAAATTTGGAAGAAAAAAGAATGGCCTTGTAAATTTGGCTTTCGATCACATTATTCCTCGGCTTCTTGGAATCTCATGCATAGTAACCCCCTTTGACTAATGCCGAAACTCTGTTTCAGATGCCTACATACAAGCCAAGGGCAAACATGTAACCTAAAACTTTCGACTTATTTTCAGCTGATACGCGGTTTGGATGCAGTAAGGAACATGAGTTTCCCCTAGGCTGATCATTACTTCAAATCGGGAGATTCACCAACTATTTCTGAGCACCCTAACGGTGCAACTAATTTATAACGGTGTACTAACACAACAAGGCACTTCTGCACGAAAATTTAAAATAAATTGTTCAAAGTCTGATCATAAGCTTCTGGTCATAACGAATGAATCACTTTTGAGGTAGTGGAGAACTTCTAATACTAGGAAGAGTGAAAGTCAAGAACCTCAATTTCTTGTTTTGTACACGTTATCCAATTTTTGAATTTTTCCAGTTCAGTTTCTTGTGCTCTAAATCCAGAGTTTTGGTAGACTTTACTTTATTGCAAAAACACTTGCACTTAGGAAAATTCTTTCACAAATTAATTTCGTACTTACTCATTCTGAATTGTTCCAAAGGCAAGTACAGTTGCTCAAAAACACCACAAATGCACAGTCAAGATCAAGTGTAGCGTCACTCCAATATAACGATTAACAAGGCCTTTCAAAGTTCGGGGAAAAGCACAGAGAAGAAAAGCGATTTTGCAGGCGGAGTAGCTCCTGACTGAAGTGCGAAATGTGCTGAGAACTCATGTCAATTTTAGAAAATTGCTTTGAAGAAAAGGTGCAATGGGTATAATATTTTGACAGCCAAACATCCCTCTTTTTCATGCGTGTTGCAGAATTAGATGGACTTCTCACGCTGTCTTCGCAATTATGCTCTTGAACTTGTAACTCCGAGTCACATCGTACTAATCAAATCGAGAAGACACGCTCTCTTGGACGTACGACTTGATTACGGCTGGCATTCTCATGAAGTCTTGAAGAGGTGCATTGTATTACTTCCTACTTTAATATCGTTAATGGCTGTGGTTCAAACAGGTTTTTGATGGAAAAAGGATATAAACAACATTACACCTTTTAAATAATCTTTTGGGCTCCGTGGAAAATGTTTTTTTTTGAATTGGTGTTCATAAGTTGATGACAGAATACGTCTTAACCAATGCTCTTTCTTATCTGTCAATTTAATAAAATATATGTTTTTTTT